ACTGACCTATTCGCAGCCCGAAAAATAATGTTGTGCACTGCATACGCAACTTATACACATCTCATACACAATGGATGCGCTGAACTCGTTACTTGTAGGCTAGATGTGCGTCGCACATAAGTCAAAGTATTCAAAAAATTTCGACGTTTTGAGCGTACGGCTGCGTATTGAAACATTTTGATAAGGAACTCATAAGGAATTGGGATACGCGAAAGTGTGACAGGGGCTTAACCCCCTCGACACACATCTGTACCGGGCCTTGAACACGAACCCCAAATTCAAGACGACAAAACAGCAAAATAACTATACAGCACAACAAAGCAATTCACTGATTTGTTGCAAATATTTTCAATATCAAATTCAAAAATACTAGAATTGTTAATAATATTAACAGTACTCAATAAGACATTTGTTCACAAGAGATAAGATTTCATTTACTTTTTTTTAGTAAATATTCAAAATGTCTTTGCAATTCTTCTTTCCGGAGAATTCAATTTCATTCTTCCAGAGTTTATTAGAAGGGGCATCTATGTCCCACATCATCAAAAACTAGAGTTTTCAAAACCTTGTTTTTTAGAATGTATATTTTATATCTTATCACATGATATTAGAGATATCATGAAATGTGAATGCACATGAAGATAAACCGCACCTTTTGTACAATAAAATTATCATTTGCAATAGAATTATAACTGCGTTTTAACAATGCTCTGATAGTGTCACATTAACAACTAAAAATGCATTAAATCGTAAACAATCATTTCATCAGAATTAAACTTTAGGACCAAATTTTTAACACGTTAAAAATCCAATAAAAATAATCTGGAACACAACAAAGAAAAAACAATAATGACATTTAAGAGTCATTGGTCCACTATGGTGCAATTCAAACTCATTTCTTTGGTTGTTTTTTTTAGGAAGAACACAAATCCTTCCGAGGATTAATAAATGATACTGCATTGGGCGTGTCTCCGCCGGGGTGTCTCTTATCCGGGGTAGCGTGAGTTTAGGACCCTATGAAATACAGACTCTTTAACATTATAGTGCGTGTTTAGCTGGTGATAATTAGTAGAGTGACCTATGGTGGCCCTGAAGGGACATCGCATATCGCAAACGTGTGCGCATACGTATGCGATGTCGCGAAATTTATCGCGAATGTGTGCGCACACGTATGCGATGTCGCAAAATTTATCGCGAATATGTGCGCACACGTATGCGATGTCGCAAAATTTATCGCGAATATGTGCGCACACGTATGCGATGTCGCGAAATTTATCGCGAATATATGCGCACACGTATGCGATGTCGTGAAATTAATCGCGAATATGTGCGCACACGTATGCGAATTTGTTTGCAATGTCGTGAATTTTATTGCATACCTTGTCGCATACCTTTCAGTAAAATTCCTAATGAACTGGGGAGTTGTAGCAGCTAGTCTGGAATCTAGACTTACTGTTAGATATAAATAGGGTCTGACTAATAAACCTTCGCGCGCACGCTGTTCCTTGTGCAATCGCGCGCAAATTTCAAAGTTGCGCAAGTAGCAAGTTTGCGCTCGACAGTACTAGTAGTAACGATTGCACGAGGAACAGCGGTTGAGAGCCCGTCACGTGGCCGGTCTTAAGCGGATGATAAAGACATGGCTAGCTGGTCTTAAACACTTTTCCAGTGTCGCAATAAAATGTGGACTCCTAAAAATCCAGTGCCTCTTACCGTTTCATTGGTTGAACGTTCACAATCCTCACGTAGGCATGCGCAACACTACAAGCGAGTCAGAATTGTATAGTTCTAAACTCAAAACGCAACGCCCCAGGTGCGTTCTGCGTGACATCGCGCAGAACATGTTACGCGCGCGTCAATCTCCATAAAAGGGTTGTTTACATCTTACTCGCCAGCTGAACACTCCATTATTTTGCCTCCGGCTCGGGTAATTATCAGCACCCAGACTCTAAGCGGTATTAAACGAGTGATAAAAACCTCCGGAGCACACATTTATTCCCTTATTAATTTTTCATTGTTTGACAGTTTCCCGATCATATTAAATCTCATAATGTTACGCAGTCATCATGACAAATCACTGGACGAAATTCTAATTTTGAAATACAGAATTAACTCGTTTTGGGGGCAACAACTCAAGAAATACTACATTGTATTCAATTAAAATGTCAAACACCATGCGTTGGAGGTCTACAGTCATGAGTATTACTAAAAACTAAAAAAAAAACCGGGAAGTACGTGAAGTTATCTCTTATGTCTTTGGGAGTCGATTTACAGGTCTTGGGGTGCAGCCCTGTATTAAAATGCCCATAGACACCAGTGTTAAATGCACATACTTCAAAATTCCTGGAAAAATATTCAGAACTCTCACGGGTATAGCTGCACAGAAAAAAAGGTAATCAACATGTCATCTTTTATTTTATTTTCATTTTTTGTGGGTTGACCATTGACTTTTCGAGATATTCTTACCCAAAGAAGGCGACCCCTACTTTTTCCAAAAGTGGAACAGTAGCCATCTTCAAAAACGATCCCTCCACAACATGACACAATAGCGCACTTTCGAGCCCAATTGCATCCAAAATGCTCAGAATTGGAAGCCTTATGATTTTATGACTCTCAGAACTCTCTAGTATCGAATATTTTGAGGGTTTAACTTTCTTTCATGCACTCGGCGGATGGGTTTAGGCCTATTTACCGGTGTGCACCCTTTACCATCCTGCATGGGCGTTTTTTTTTTTTTTTTGCAGAAAATGTTTTTTTTTCTCCCAAACGTCATCCGCATAATGGGTGAACGCTATGGCATTTTGGATTTTGCTTTTCTACAAACGTGAGAAATAAAATATAAATTAGAAAAAAAGAAATGACTTGGAACGTAATGAAATTTGGACTTTATTTCCCTTTAACAAAATATCCTCTGAAGTCTGAGGTTAGAAAAGAAAAAAAAAACAAATCGGGAACAAAACAACGGTGAATCGAATCTGCAACCTCGCAATGCAAAATCACAACCCTATCGACTGAGCTATCGCACTGCTCGCCAAAATGTGGGGGGAAATATAATTATATACCTGCGTACGTATCATATAAGTATCGTAGAGGGCGCTAAACAACCATGTATGTGGGTGTAGTTTAGGAAAAGAAAATTTGCATCCGGGGCCATGGTTTACGTACGTACAGCAAAGGTATTTTTACTGAAAAAAACCTGCCAAGGTATATTCAAAAATTGCGGAAGGTCATGTTTTACTGGTAACAATAATGTCTGCCTTTTGGCGGCCAAGTGTCTGGAGAATTTTTTTTTTTCTGCATTTCAGATTTGTTTTGCCGATGGACCCCTCCCTCCTGCGAAAATGCCTGGATCCGCCCCTGCACACACCCACCTCCCCCATGCACGTGCCGATGACCCTTGTCCTAAAATACCCGGCGTTTGTAAGATGAGCGTGTGAGGAAATCGTACAGCTTTCACCCTATTCAGCCTCTCTCACCAATGCTCTCCCTCTTATTCTCACCCATCTCCCATTAATCTGCGAAACGCAACCGCCTTATCTCTACCACCCTTCAAACCCAAGCCAATCTGAACACCCTGCCCTTTACAGGCGGATGTAGAACAACACTGTCGGTGGGCTTCCGGTTGTGTTGGGGAGGAGGGAGGGGGGCAAAGATTCATGGGCCTGACATCCAGCATTTTTCATTTCTCATTTTGTTCTGTCTACATGTTTTAGCATTTTAAGAATCCGTGGGGTAAATGGGATAAGTAGACTACACCATCGTCTTAGTGCCATTCATTGTTTTTGATGAAGTAACAGTCGGCATCATATTTTGCTCCCCGCCCCTCATCTTCAATCCCTACCCCCCTCGACACCACTAATTATTCATCCTCCACCCCATCCATCCTCAACCAATGTTAACCCGGCCTTTCATTAACACGATCCCCAAATCTAGAAGTCAAAACAAACAAAAATGGACAAAAATACAGGTAATTAACTGACTCTGTTTGCAATAATTTGTAATATCAGAGGGATTAAAATTGTTAACTATAATCACAGGTTTAAGTATTTAATAAGAAATTGTGTTCGTAAGATTCAGACTGGGATTTGCTCGTTCATTTCAACGACAAACGATTTTATTGACTGTCTTCAGTAAATGGTCCAAATTTCTCTGTAATTTTACTTTCCTGAGAGCAATTCGATGGAATGTATTACGAGTGGGACAAGGTTTTCCACATTGTTAAAAGCTAAATGTTCAATTACAGTAATGTTCAAAATACACTTTTTGAGTATTTATATTCGATACTGATTACATGTTATATGATTAATTTCTGTGCTTAAATTAGTTAAGCTGTTAAACAGACCATATCCTCAAATGTATACTTGGAAAAAAGGTTTCTTAGAATCAAATAAATACTATAGAATCATAATTGCGTAATCTGCTGATATAGTGTCACAATATCAACTCAAACTACATTAAATCGTAAACAATTTCATCATAGTGAAAGCTCTAAAACTCAACTTTTAACATGAACAAAAACTCAATGATAAATGTATAACATGGGATACAAAATAAAGTGTTTAACAAAAGTTGAGAGATCTTGGTTCACTGTGGCGCAATTTGAAACTCTTGTTTTGTTCAAGAAAAAAAGTTTTCGAGGTCAAATAAATATATCACCAGACTTCATTTAATCTCTGGTTGTATAAGGTATGATAAATGCAAATGAAAAAAAATATATATTTTTTTAATACATGCATTTGTTACTTGCCAGACAGACTATTGTAACGGTTTATGTTTTTTTTTCATACGATTACCAGTTTAAGAAATAACAACGTATATGCAGAAGGAAGGGTCATACGCCCGTACTTCAGGAACTACGTTGGCTCTCGGTTACGGTGCGGGTTGAATTCAAGATTCTTCGGTACTTTTCAAACTTATCCGCCATGGTGAGGCAGCTCTACGGTACTTCACAGAGTAAATATCAGTTCTTGCGTTTAATATTCGCACTAAAAACTGTGATGGGGTTCAGTTTAACCTTCCTAAAGTTCGTCCAAAGCCTGGCAAGGCATATAGTGAACGTGCAGATTTCCACGTTATTTGAGCAAAGAAATAATGAATTTGAAGTGTTTTTCAAACGCAGCTAAAACCTTCTTTTTCAAAAGTCATATATTTAACTTCTTTTTAATTAACTGTTTTTAAGCAGTTTTGATACTAAACAATACTGTAAAATGCTTTGTATTAAGAATCAATTATCTTTCTTATCATGATGACATTGAACATTTTTCTTTTAATTCATTGGTTAATACTGTTTTGGCAAAATGGAAAGCGAAACCAAAACAATGCAGCACTGCGCCTGTATATTTATGCGTTGTGATTTGATTTTATTTATTTAATTATACATTTATTCGGAGAAAAGGAGGAAGCCACTGAATGAGGTTAAGTGATAGGTGGAATCACTACGCGCCCTGCCGGTAATTGTAAGATACACCGTGTCTCCTCGCTGCAGGACCATCACCGCGCTACCAGACAACTGACCACGTTGATTTGATTCACCATAGGTAGTGATCACCTTGTAGTCGTTTTTAACAAGATGGATGTGAAGGCCACCGCTGTTGCTATACTTAAGAACAGAAAACGCAAATACATAGGTGCCCGGCACACCACATGTGAACGTGCCGGTCTCGAGATCGAAGCTGGTACCCGGCAGAAGCGTCTCGGTCTGCTGGAAGGGCAATGGGGTGTCGGAACTTGTAGATACATCCGAGTCGCTCGTCCTCACCACGGTGAATGCCACCCGCTTGTTGGAGTCGTCTGGTGTCTCCCCTGGCTCACCCTTCTGACCTTTGACACCAGTTTCCCCAGTTCCTCCAACAAAACCAGGTAGCCCTCTCGGACCTATCTTGCCAGGCAGACCAATCCCATCATCACCTTTAGACCCAGTGTTCCCAGGTGCTCCCCGCTCACCCATAGGTCCAATAGGGCCAATCTCACCTTGCTGACCTGCAGCGCCCTTTGACCCCGGCTGACCGTACGGCCCAATCGGTCCTACTGGGCCAGGCAGACCTGGTATGCCGGGTATTGCAGCAGGTCCCTGGCAGCACTGCTGACACACCTGAGACGCAGGACCATCACCGTCCGAGGGAACCGGCCCAGTAACGGAAGCTCGGAGCTTGACAGAGTTACCCAGAAGGAGGGCGAAAGACAGAGCGGTGGCCACGCAGATCTTCATCTGAAAGGAAAACAATACAGGGCCTAAAATTACAAACAAAATCGCTACAAAAAATGAAGAATTTGTATACGAGACATAATTTGGAGGAATCTTTATTCAGAGAATGTGTCGGCAGTGGCCTATCCGAGAGCAAGGGGATAACATGTAAATGAAAAGATGGGTTCTTTTTAAATCTGTTGCCATGGCAACTACGGGCAATCCACACTTGTTAGTATTATTGTTTTTCCAGCCGATTAAAGTTTGGAAAGGAATTACATTATTTTTTTTTGGGGGGGGGGGGACGGCACGCCCTTTCCACGGTCATGATAGAATCGATTAAACATCTTCACACCGACCTCGATGGTTTGCTCTTGAAGTCTTGAAGATCAGGTCCAAGAAGAGATCACAAGGACTTCACTGAAGGCTGAACAAAATGAACAAAGAAAACTGGTAACGTTTATACTTGGGTTAAGGAATGAAATAATGGTATTATTAGTTAGAATTTTATTTTGATTTTTTTTTTCATCTTTATAAATCATTATTCGAAAACAGGACCAATTACACACTTGTAAATAATGGACAAATTATTATTTGACTAGTATTTTCCTGGCCGAATACCTCCAGGAAAACAACATGTTTTAATGAGGCTATGTGAAATTTCTCGGGAAACTAAATGCTGCCTCAAACACATTAATTAAAATTATTAAAATTCCTTCCTCCCCCAAATGTATGCATTTTTAAGGCACTATCAAACGACTGAAGAGTTTTTGAAAGCATAATGTGAGTTTTTAAACCAGCAAATTCTGCATTCCAATAGGTTTTTCCCCGTCCAATTTCACAACTTGCCCGTTCAATATTCGAACACTTTCTTCAATATTCGAAAATATTTAATGGTATCTTCACTTAACGCGTAAAAAAGTAGGCAATTTAGGTATTTGCATTGGATTTATTGTGCTTTTGATTTCAGTCCTGCTCGGGAATTCACATTCATGCATACGTTTACCAAAGTAGAACATGTTTAATAAAATCCGGCAGTTTAGCAAGATCAGTGGGGAATCCAGGGGTGTGGAGGTGGCGCCCTCCCCCGGCAGTGACCGAAAATTTCTCAAAAAATGCAAATTTCGATTGAGAGAGCCCTTCCAACCTCACCCTTTTCCCGGCTCAAACTTCGCCCTCCGACAATAAACTATCTGGATCCGACCTTGAAGATTGTGTGGCGGTGTTAAAACAAGGTATAAAATGACATGGTGTTTGGAAAAGTTGAATAGCGGAATGTACCATTTTTTTTAAATGACAGGGAAGGAATCATGAAACGTGCATATCAGAACTTAACAATTCATTGTTGAGTGTCTATCAAGTGAGAGAAAGAATTAACTTTTTAGCGCTCGCCCCAAATCGGCCTCTTACGAAAAAAGACAGATTTTTATATTGAACAGTTATTTTTTGTAATCACCATGTGGAAATAAAACATATAGGCCTTGATTGAAAAAAATACTGAAAATCAATCAAATTTCTTTTCGCCAATACGATAGGATTGACAGTTAATGCAGTCTTCAATCTTTGGCATCTGTATCTCTATTTTATTTCTTTTAGTTCTCTGATTTGTTTTAAGTTTGTAAATTGTATGTACAAAAATGAAACAATTTTGTTTTTCCGGAGAACCCGTGACGATATGATGAGTAATCTGCCTTTCTAAATCTAAATTGACAGGCTTCATATACAGAATTGCATGTTTGAGAACGACTTTGAGTGATTGAGGAATTAGCAAAACTGATTTAAATTTAAAAGCACACAATTAGATTTGAATTAACGAATTCAGCCGGAAATCCCACATTAATGATGGTCTTTAAATAATCTTTATGCTTCAAACAGGATTTCTAAGCAACGATTGGCCGTTTGTCACAGTTTGACGCTGGTTGTAGGGGAGGGGATCCCTCACTTCTTTAAATATCACTTTCGCATCTTTGTTTTGAATTGAATGACGTTTTCTGTTTATAGTGGTGACCAAAACGTTATCGGTACATACACAAACACAGTCTGCCACAAAATACTATGATATTGTCAAGCTTAATTGAGAGAAAATGTAAAATAAGAACTACTCAACTCGATGTAATGTTCTTGAATTTTATCACGAAAGAAATCGTCAACACGTGAGCAGATTGCTGGCGAAAAATAATACCATTTTTTTGAAACTGAGTTATTGAGCTATTTTCTGCATTGATATGAGAAACCAATCTCAAACCAGTGAAGTATAGTGGCGGAAATATTACACGTGGACCACCGCAGTTAAGCTACAGTCGTTACAAAAAGAATTGTTTCCCCGGTGGTGGGAAATCAGCGCACCTGTTTGGCTATTAGCATCAGCCACCATCTGTTTGCCAACCATGAATGTGTCTTGGAAAATCTTTAAGGTTAAAAAAAATACTATTATTGCAAACCTTAAACACTGAAAATGTTGCTTTTTCAAAAAGATATTTTACAGAATCTACGTGACATTCTCAGTGGAAACTGCATGCAAACATGGCTGAATTCATCTGAAAGCTGGTGCTTCAAACGTTGCAAAAAGAATTGTTTCCCCGGTGGTGGGAAATCAGCGAACCGGTTTGGCTATTAGCATCAGCCACCATTTGTTTGTCAACCACAGTCGGAAAATCTTTAGGGTTTACGAAAATCAGTACTATTATTGCACAACCTAAACACTAACAATATTGCTTTTTCAAAAAGATATTCAACAGAATCAGTGGAACCCTAAATGCAAAGTGAATTATTCTTAAAGCTGGTGCTTCAAACGTTGAAGTCGGACAGCAGAACTGACGGCCCGAATAATTTGTACAAAAATCAACTATTTACATGATTCCTAGAAATGAATCCAGCTAGGTAAAGCAATTTGAACTTGAATAAAGTTTGATCATGATCCGGTCCGTTCGTATGTGCGCCCTCTAGTCTATTCCGATCAGTGACACTTTTATCACGCAATGCTAAAAAGTAACGCTCAGGCCTATACGTGTATAGTGTTCAAACCGGAATGGCGCACTACATGTGAACTAGTGAAATGACACAGTTTAAAAACAAAGTCCAAAAGGTATGAGATTATCCCAGTTTTCAATAACACAACATAGGACAGGATGTTAGAGATGTCCCAATTTCCTTTATACGTTCTTCCGTGGCCAACTTCCGCATAACCCTTTATCCTGAATTAGTTAGAGTGATTGCCGGGAAAAAAAGATGAGCGCATCGCATCGGGATTATATGTTTATACAATAAACAGGGAAAAATAGCAAGATAATAAAGGTGGTGAATGGTCATATACTGATATTATGGGTCAAGTGTCGAGCTTTTGCAAGATTTCTTTCGTTAAAGACAAAAAGTTTCAATTGATCATCTAAAAAACTGCATAAGTGCTTGAACTTCACTAAACAGAGGGAACTTGATGTAATACACTCTTGAAAAACCTATACAGCCAGGTTTTACTGGAAAAACTGGCGAACCTGAATGGCAATTTAAACTATAAAACTTCCATGAACTTATAGAGTTTTTTTTACTTTTCAGTATTTGGGCAATTACTGTGCGTCGAGAGTGCACCGTGGAAGTAATAGCAAAAATATTGTCCGACATGAATTCCTTATTTAGAACAAATAAAAAAAAAACCCAGATTTTTGTTCTTAGCTTTTATTGCCTGAACATTTGGCCTCACAACAAGTTGGTTTGAATCCGCATCAACTGTTCAGACTAAGAGCTAATTCAGCTATAGTCTATACAACATAACACCAGGGTGATTATTCAAGCACCAATATCGATAAGTTATCGAGTTACCGTATGGAAACGGGATCATCATGGTCTGAAATATTTATATCTCGCCATTTTGGCTATAAGCAAATTTGTGTCAATATCATACATCAAAAAAGATCAATCCCAAAGTTGGAAGAATTATCGTCAAAGATTGTTTCAAAAACTCACCGTGCAATTCTTGTTCGATCTTGCAAACAGTTCTCTCGGGTTGTCGTCCGAACGTGGACATGAGCTGCGGTCGTTGTGAGGAGTGAGCCTGCAGCTCGTGACTTAAATATTGACGTCGATTTCCCGAGCAGTGACTGAGGAACTTGCATGCCCGGTTTGTGATTGGCCCCCTGCGCGCTGTCAATCACACATCACCGACTCGCTCCATATTTGTGAGACGGAAATGATGTTAATGTTACATTGCAACACGTTAAACCCGAAGCTTGTATCACCGACACTCAAATAGACGCATCTAATTGGTGGAATGATTGTATGGATGTCGGCGATACATTCAAACACGTGGATTGTGATTGGCACCTGTCAATCACAGACCTCTCACTTGTGGTCCCCGACTTGTTGGGTGACTAACTATGATCGGTGGATAGAATAATGACGTACACCGGCCATACGTGATTCAATCAGTGTTTGTTTTGCGCTTCGTGTTATTTAATGGAGCCACGCATTTGGTGGCTAGTATTTTGTAGTCAGGTTATGCCGTCTACATTTTTGATTGAAAAACGAAGGCGTAATAATCTAGCTTGAAAAGAAAAGGTAATAAGAACTTTAATTTATTGTGTGCATAATATCCAGTCCATGTACAGTTTCCGCCCTCTTACGGTGAAGTATACTTATTTTGCAGAATCAAACGTGCCCTCGGCTCGGCAACTTCTCGGGCATGCAATCAACCTTGCACCTGCGACCCCCTCCGCAGCTAATTGAGGCACTCCCACCTCCGCTTATTGAGCCCAACATATACCAAAAGCCAAACACATAATTAGGCCAACCCCGATCTTGACCCTCGCATAATCAAACCTAATCCCCCAAACTCACCCCAACTGCTAGGATCCTACCATTTGCAACAAACTTCTTTTCTTAGAAAACACTAACCTTCAATAGTCTGATCTCCAAGCCAAGCACGAATCCCCATATTGAACCCCTGCCCCCCCACCATCCCTCCCCCTCCTAGCCACCCTGGGCAGCCAATGGCGGATCCCTAACCAATATACTGAGGTGGAAAAAGGGGTGTTTATTTAATGCTAGAGTGCTGCTGTTCCCCTTTCTATTAATAGTTTCGTCGAAAGGAAGAGGAAGAGTAAATCTATTTTTACAACATAACAAGTCGTGTAGTGACATTTGTTTTTCGTTGGGTATTACCTATCGAGTGCCACTGTTTTTAGTAATTCACTCATCAATTTTCTGCATATGGGAACCAACAGTTTTCCCCGCTAAAATAGGCCGGGCTATACGAATACCTATTGAGAAAATTTGAAAAGACGGTGGCCCATATTCTACCAAAAGTCCAAAATAATCACTAAGTGTGCCCCTGAGTGTGCCTGATTTCTAGCGGAACAACACTTCCCACAATTCCCAACAGTACCTATTATTATACCTATCCAGGGTGTGTCGTTTTCAAACCTAGTATTTTCGAGAGATATTACGCTGCAAAGTATTACACATTGGCGTGGTTCATTAAAGGTACCTTAATTTAGACTCCTCATTGTCTGGAGGAAGCATTCAAAGACTTAAGTGCCTCCCCCGAATCCCAGGCAGGCTGAATGGTGAGGCACGCCCTCTCTAGCTTTCCGGGTTACGCCACTGAGTTTGAAGTGACGCATCGTATCTATCTCAACATTCGGCTTGGACCATGAGTTTGACCACGATGGGAACGAACAACATTAACATTTTAACTGAAATAAATCTGCCATCGGATATTTGAAAATCTTGGGGTGGATTGTTGAGACAGCTATAACTAGGGGCAAAGAGGACTGGACGTCCGTACTACGACGTCTGGCATCAGGAGCTGGCCGCCTGTTGAATGCGCAGACCATTTTTACTAAATCGGGTACTCAGACCTCACCGCTGCATTTGGCAACGACCCTGCCCCTAACATACCTGCCCGTAAGCTGACGTGGGTTCAACTTCCACCCTATCCAGCCTCTCTCACCAAGTCTTTGCCACCCCCCCCCCATCTCACCCATCTCCTATCAATCTGCGAGACGCAACCACCTAAATAATGTCTTACAACCTTCAGACCCAACCCAACCTAAACACCCTGCCCCTCAACGGCGGATACAGAACCAAATTGTCGATGTGCTTCCGGTTATGTTAGGCGGTGAGTGGAGGGGAAGGGGGCAGGTGAAAGGGCCTGACACCCGGCAAGCTGGCCGTTACATAATCAAAAGGCGTGGGGGATGCGTTTCATTTTTCCTTCATTATTTTTCTTGACTGCAGTATACTAGCCTTTTGGGTGGCGTGGGTGGCTTGTGCATAAAGCGCTCGCCTCTCACCAAGGTGACCACGGTTCGAATCCTGGCCGTGGATCACATGTGAGTAGAGTTGTGCGTTGGTTCTCTCCTGTGCCCAGAGGTTTTTTTCCGGGACCTCCGGTTTTCCTCCCTCCCCTCCGGCTTTCCTCCCTCCGGCAAAATCAAACACTTTCGATCTCAGGCTGTGCTCCGTGGTCATATATGGGTCGATGTGGTCGGCAGCCATAGGCGCCTTTACGTGCCAGCGGCCCGACCACGTTGTGACCGCGTTCTTCGCAATTCAGCATCCCAGGTGCGAGTAAGGATGATTAGCCTCCCAAATTATTAATTATTATATTTCAAGAATCCGTGGGGGAAATGAAACGAGTGGACTACACCACCGTCTTAGTAATATTTACTGGTCTTGTTCAATTATTGAAAGATAAATAACTATTGGTATCAGTTTTGTTGCCCCCTCCCATTTTCAACCCCTATTAGGGGTTGAAAATCCCCTCGACACACATCTGTACCAGGCCTTGAACACGAAACCCCAATTCAAGACGACAAAAGAGCAACATAACTATTCAGAAATACAAAGTAATTCACTGAATTAGTGCAAATATTTTTAATATCAAATTGACTAGAAATGTTAATAATAATCACTGATTCACTTAATTAGACATTTTCCCCCTTTTTTTATAGTAAATATTCAAACTGTCCTTGCAATTCTACTTTCCAGAGAATTCGATTTCATTCTTCCAGTGTGTATAGCAAGAGGCATGTATGTCCCAAATTATCAAAAACTACAGTTTTCAAAACATTGTTTTTTTTAGAATTTGGATTATATATCTTATCACATGATATTACTAAATTAGTTAAGCAGTTAAACAAAGAGATATTATGAAATGTAAATGCACTTGCAAATTAACTACACCTTCTGTACAATAAAATAATCATTTGCAATATAATTATAACTGCGTTTGAACAATGCTCTGATAGTGTCACATTAACTAAAATTGCATTAAATCGTAAACAATCATTTTGATCAGAATTAAACTCTAAGATCAATCTTTCAACACGTTAAAAATGCAATGAAAACAATTTGGCACACAAGAAAAAAAAACAATAATGACATTTAAATCAAACAAGCGACACACAAAATGCGCGGCCTGGGCGAACAGCCTTACATATAAAACTCAAACTCCCCAACAATAATTGAAGCTCCCGCAGGGTAAGTTTTTGCATACTCAATGCAATGTCTAATTTGTCCATAATCGCGGCGACTTTGCCTGATGGAACTCGTATCTCCTGAGCGGAAGTGTCGATCGATAAGCCTAGGAAAGCAGTTCGAGTGGTTGGCCCCTCGGTTTTGTCCAAAGCCAAGGGAACCCCAAACTCCTTACAGACAACTGTAAAGGACCTAAGGGCGCGTGCGCAATCACTGGAATCTGCACTCCAAACGAAAAAGAAATCATCAAGATGTTTGAGATAGTTTGTCGACCTGGCCACTCGTTTCTGTGCAAAAGTGAGACAAATGTTCTGTTTGGATTGCGACTCTAGCCGATCGCCACGTTTTTCTCCGTGTTGCGATAAAAGACCCTGTTGAGGGAGAGAAAAACAACATGTTGTCTCAATCTTCTGTCTTTTTTGTCTACTTTTCATAACCAATCAGCTGGCCACAATTCAATTCAATGCATCAAATAATTTTTGAGAGAGATTGTCGACCTGGACTTTAGTTTCTGTGCAAAAGTGAGGCAAATGTTCAGTTTGGACTGCCAATTCAGCCCATCGCCAACTTATTCTCCGTGTTGCGATACAAGACACTGTTGAGGGAGAAAAAACAACATTTTGTCTCAATCATCTGTCTTTTTTGTCTACTTTTCATAACCAATCATTACAGAAAAATTCATTGCAATACAATGTGTTTATCTTGAGTTCCCAATTTCACAAGAACTATGTTGACATTAGGATAAAATACGCAGTGTCCTTTGTACTGCAATTTCCTTAAATTGTATTACATTCATTTTTCGGCAGTTCCTGTCAAGTTTCTAGAATTTCCTGTCAAATGCCATGACAAAAATTACAGAAAATTTCATTTTAACACAATGTGTTTATCTTGAGTTCCCAATTTCACAATAACTGTGTTGACATGACGAGAAAATACGGAGTGTCCTTCATACTGCAATTTCCTTAAGTTATATTACATTCATTCTTTGGCGGTTCCTGTCAAGTTTCTAGAATTTCCTGTCAAATGCCATGACAAAATAGTACAGGAAATTCCATTGCAATGTAATGTGTTTATTTTGAATTCCCAATTTCACAATAACTGTTTTTACATCTCCAACGGCCAGACGTCGGCCTCTATGGCGTGTCAAACGTTGCAATATTCAATATTTTGCAATATATATGTTGGATGTTCAATATGTGTTTGTTATCTTTTACATTTATGTGCAATAACTGTTGTTACATCTCCAACGGCCAGACGTCGGCCTCTATGGCGTGTCAAACGTTGCAATATTCAATATTTTGCAATATATATGTTGGATGTTCAATATGTGTTTGTTATCTTTTACATTTATGTGCAATAACTGTTGTTACATCTCCAACGGCCAGACGTCGGCCTCTATGGCGTGTCAAACGTTGCAATATTCAATATTTTGCAATATATATGTTGGATGTTCAATATGTGTTTGTTATCTTTTACATTTATGTGCAATGTTCAAGATAAGTGTGCGATGCTTTTCATTATTTGCGCGATGTTTTATATACTTGTG